GCTTTACCTCCCCCAGCCCTTCTTGTCGTATTACAGATAAGTAATTGAGCTGTGGATCTGTGGTGAACGGCTCCACAAAGCCACATCCAGGCAGCTCTGGCACTAAGCGATGAAATCTCTGGTGTTGACACAGGCAGACAAGGTTCCTTGGGTGAATTTGATATCTTTTATTAGACCAACCCAAATGGTTGGAGAATAGTTATTAAGCAAGCTTTCAGGACATGACCCTTAAAAGAAGCTGGAGGCACCCCAGGGTGCTGCAGCACTTTGGGCAAGGATTGCTACTGGTTAAAAAAAACAAAAATAAAACTCCCAGGGTTTTATATGGGCACATTAAGAGGGCGTTTGAAAAGGGATTTGTGAGGATTGGTGTGTGATGGTTAGTGTGGCCTTGGGCATTTGTTACATACACACCTACTGGAGAATGGGTTCGTTGCAGAGACAGTTGTTGACTCTCATACTGCACGCAGGATTGCACATTAGGGACTCAGGAGGTCAGGGCTGCAAAGTTCAGAGTGGGCCTGTTTTCACTGGTAAACCACGTACAAGGGAATGGTTGTGTCCTGCTGCTGACTCTGCAATGACCAGTACACAGAAAGGTAGCTGGGGCTAGCAGTGTTGGAGGTGTGGGAGTGGGGGAGATCTGTCCCTGGAAGAGGTGCTTGGAAGACCTGAACGGAAGCTGGGAGGACAACCGGGATGTAGCAAGGCAGAACGGCAGAGTTTGCCAGTGTTACTTAAGGACTTACCTTTTCTCTCTATTCTCACCCAACCATGCCAGCCTTGTAGAAAGTATTAGAGCTCCTGGTGGATAGAGGGTTTGGTTTAATCTTTAACCTACCTCCTGTCCTGTTAAGTAAATGTTAGTTGGTGACACAGCAAAGTAACCAGTTGTCTCATAGTGAAGAAAGAGTAGCAGTTGATACTTCTTTAACTAGTGTGCATGCTGCTGCTTTTTTTCTTTTTCTAAGTTTAAAACAAAAACTTGGTGATGTTAAGGATTTGGTCTCTGTTAGGTGAATAAACAAATGTATTAGCTATGGATTCAAAAGCAAAATTTGACCTCCAATAGGAGTGTCAAACTTATCTGGCCCTGCAGTCTGCATAAGTGGTGTGGGGCCTGCTCATGGGCTGATTCAAGCCCACAGACGCCTCCCTGGTCCTCATGCCTGATCCAGTGTGCACAGCACCTGTTCAGGATGCCAGTGGGCAGCATAGTCTGGGGTCTGATGCTAGAGAGTACTGTGGATGGCCTGTCCCAGGCACTGTATGTGGGGATCAGTGGGTGCAGCATGTGGGTTGACGGGGACAGCACTGGGGGCCAGAGTATGGGGCTCCACAGGCTGGATCCAGCCCTTAGGCTGTATGTGACCTGTGACCTATGGCTGTGATTAGCAGCTATAACAGGAGACTCAGATTTGGTATGCTGATTCCTGAGGTCTGTTCTCAGTTCTACTGCTGAGTAGCTTTGGTAATTTCTGGGGTTGAGACTGGGCTGGTGGGGGGGGTCAGTTTCTCCTTGTGCAGAAACGCATGCTGACATCTTCACTTAAGTGAAGTACTCTGAGATGTACAGGTGGAAAGCAGCGGGAAGTACTTAAATGTTTACATAGCAGTCTGGTTACAGTTGAGTAATCCAAGGAAATAATTCTGCCTCTAAAGCCCTTGAAAGTTGTGTGGTGTGACAACAACCTGTACAGAGTTCACACTTTGTTCTAAACTTGCAAAGCAGGCTGTGGTCCCTGGCAGGCTCCCTTTCCAAGATTAATGAGGAGTGGAGGAGGAGAGATTTTGTCCATCATGTGGTGGGGACTGCTTGTTGGCATTAGTGGGACATCATTGTACCAGATCTTTCTTAGATTCCAGCTTCTAGGAAAAATATAAATATAAAATTACATTGAGTATGTTATTTTTTGTAAAAGAAGGTTCAAGTGGATAATTAATGGTGGTTTTTTTTCCCCTCCTTACAGGTCTTTAATGAAATCTATCCAGTATGGACGTACTCTTATTTAGTGCTGCTGTTTCCAGTATTTCTTGCAACAGACTATCTCCGGTACAAACCTGTAATCCTCCTACAGGGACTGAGCCTTATTGTGACTTGGTTCATGCTGCTCTATGCCGAAGGACTATTGGCTATTCAGTTCCTGGAGTTCTTCTATGGAGTGGTGACTGCTACAGAGATTGCCTATTTTTCCTATATTTATAGCGTTGTGGATTTGAACGTGTACCAGAAAGTCACCAGTTACTGTCGAAGTGCCACCTTGGTGGGTTATACTGTGGGTTCCATCTCTGGACAGGTTCTGGTATCGGTGTTCAACTGGTCCCTGTTCAGCTTGAATGTCATCTCCCTAACATCTGTGTCTGTAGCTTTTGCCATTGCCTGGTTTCTGCCAATGCCTCGGAAAAGTCTTTTCTTTCACCACCTCTCAAGCAGCCAGGTTGCTAGGGAAATGAAGGTTATTGACTGTAAAAATGGAGCTGTTGTCCGAGATGATCCTGCGTTACAGTGTGTGCCTGGGTGGGAAGATGAGTCAGAAGTTCCTTTAAATGTGGAGGCCTGTTCTGCAGAGAAGCAGGTAAGGCACTATGTCAAAAGAAATGAAAGCTACAACCACTTCCACAGCCTGCTGCCTTACATGAAGAGCACTGTCTCAGGGTAGCTGACAAGGAAAGGTATCCCTTTCCAACCCTTCAAGTCTTCAGGGAGCAAGAAATTGCATTCTAGTCACATGGCATGGTAGTCCCCATGGGCATTTTTACACATGTAAGTGCTGCAGTGCTGGGCACTTTGAAAAGTGCCTGGCTCTGCATGGCTTACAGTTGTATAAGTGGTAAAATGCATGTCAGTGCTGAGAAAATGGCGGCAGCACGCTTTTGAATTAAAATACATAAAAGGTACTTTGGTTCAAAAGCACGATGCCTCCATTTGCTGTGCGCTAACACGCATTTTGCCACTTACAACTGTAAGCAACAGTGCAATTCACATTAGCTTGTGTGTAGAGTAGACTCAATTAATTGAATCTGCTCTGAAGTGGCAGATATCTGGTGCATCGTGGAACAGAAAGGTATGTGTATAAATACCCCATATTCCTTCTGTTATTCAGACACATTAAACTGTCCTCTAAGACTTGCTCTTTATTTTTTTAAGTCATCATTCACTCACTTGTATGGGGGAAGCAGTGAAGACTCTGGGTGCTTGAAGTCCTGTCTGAATGTACCATGAGCTGTTAAAGAGAAAGCAGTTGCAACCTGTGGTTTGAAAGCCTATTACAAAATAACAGCTGCAGAATTTTTGTTGCAGATGAACTAGGTAACTGTTTCAGATAACCAGGAAGAGATTGTATCGGTGGAAGGACTGTTGATATCACCTTCTGATAAAGGCACTTAGGGGTATTTAAAATGGCATGATTTTGTCGAGTTTTCCACTTAGTGTTCCATCAGTGCAGGAGGAGAGGAAGGGGAGAAGGTAGAATATCCCTGACACACTGGTGGAGTTTTAAGTGAACATCGGTTTAAGTTTTGTTTGTCTAAGTCTAGGGTAACTGCTTGCTCGAGGCAAAAGGACTATTACTTGTCTGCTTCCTGCTATTTAATGGCTAGACACAGTATTAATTGCTTTTGAAAGCCAGAATGAGGAAGATACTAACACTGTCTCCCCAGCCACATTTCTCTTCACTTCTCTTCAAATACTTATTGCAACCAGAGACTGCAGGGAGGATAGCAATACCTGCCTTTAGCTTAGCTGGAAGGGTTTATGCTTCCTTGGGTTTCAACTGGGAATTTAAACATTAATATTCCAGTGCACTTATCTTGTCCTGTCCAGCACAGCTCTGCCAGACCCTCTGCTGAGGTCACTTGAAGAGCCAGTGAGCATAAATGGAGGGCGGTCTTCCTTCAGTTTTCGGTTTTGGAGGAATGGAGTTAGGATAGTAATGGGGTATTGAGTAATCACTGAGCCAGTGATTTTGATCTAAAAGAGGTAGCCAATCTGGCATGAGTGCCACAAGTGGTGCAGGCAGCCTCTTTGTGTGGCATGGAGCAGATCAGGGTGGGGACAGGCAGCACAGCAGCAGATTGGGCAAGGAGCAGCAGGCAGAGCAGGAGAGAGAGCCCAGGGCAGGAAGCAGAAAGCAAGGAAGGAAAGCGGGAAGAGAACAAAAATCAGAGCAGCACATTGGATTGAGGGAGGGGATCAGAATGGCACTTGGGCTAATTTGAGGCAGGCATGCCTGCCAAAAGAGTTAGCCCCCACTGATCTAAAGTCATACTCGGACCTTCAGCCCAAGGTCATCTTCCTGCAGCCCCAATTCTACACAGATGTTCGCTTATTCGCCTACAAGCAAGAGGAGGTTCCTTCCCTTGCACGTTTCACTAGTACCAGCACCATCCCAGACTTGGCAATAATTGTAACTGCTTCTAGAAATCTCTTGCTTGGAAGGGAAGGCTATGTTGAGGCAGCTGAAAGTATAATATATCACTGAGTATAGTATAACATATTTGCTGAGGGCTTTGAATTAATTATTGAGGGTAAGCATGGAATTCCTGTCATCCTGTACTACTTAAAACTTGAGAGGTTTACTGAGAATGAAGCTTCCCTTTTTTCCTGTGCTACATAACCTAAGGATGAGGAGGATCCTTTAAATACAATTGGAACATTTTGAAATAAAGGATAAATTAAAATCTGTCAGGGGTTATTCTCTCTTTCTTATGTAGACTGCAGTCACCTGAAACTCTTGTTACATTAGGGACTCAAATAGTTTGTAGCTGTGTGTAATTCTTAAATTAAGAATTTGCTAAGCATTGGCATATAACACTGGCTTTGCAAACTAGGCATATGGCCAATCAGATTGCGTAACTTGACTGGCCACAGAAGACTTCTTCCTCTCTCCTGAAGAAATGACTGGGGCTGTTGACTTTTGCAGCCTCTATGTATCTTCTCCAATGAGCTTCACCTCCCTGGAGATCTGTTTCCTAGATTTCCTGTAACTCAGACTGTGCCCCATCTAGTACTTCTGTTTGGGACACGAATAGTGACAGCATCCACCCTGTTGTTATTCTCAGTTGCTGTATTTGAGTTTGTAGCCATGCAGAGAATGAGTACGTCAGAAAGCTACTGAACTAACTGGCAGAGCACCTGGAATTCATTTCCTATCTAGTATTTACCAAGTGACATTTTATCGGAGGGAGGAAAAGAAGGCCTAAGGCCAGGGTAGGTGAAAATTCCTGTTAAGGATTTTTAGTGGGGGAGGCCTTGAAATGAGACCATGGCTTGTTCTCAAGGGAGAGACTTTCAAGAGTGCAGACAGTTGCATAACCTGAACACTTTTGACCTGTGGTCCTGTGAGTTAAGTCGAGTCACACTGGTAAGGTATCGACAGATGGCCTTGAAGCAGGGAGGTCTTTGTAGCTGTAGCCCATTCTTGGACTAGTGACTTGAATAGCTGCTGGCTACTTGGCATAAGTATAAAGTTACATGATTGTGAGGGTTTTTCTTTCATACTGGAATGTTGATAATCTATTTACCCTTCCCCCTCCCAGTGCAGACTAGGCGGATGTGCCTGGACATGTTTGTGTTGAGGTATTGAAGCAATGTCATGGAGAAGGAGTGATGCCAAGCTTCACATCTGGCTTTGAAAACAAGTTAGCAGAGTGTGTTGCTGGCTATTGCTAGGCATGGCCTGTAGTCCCGGCTCCATCTTTGGCCCAAATGGGCCCTACTTGTGAGAGGCTAAATCTGAGTGGATGAATTCAGAGCCAGTTGCTTATTTAGATGTCTGATAATCTGATACTACCGTGCCTGTTTTAGCACTATCCATTTCCATATTTTAAATCACTCAGCCTCCAACCTCCTAGTCTCCATGAGGTAGGTGAGCATTGCCTCTATTTTATTAAGGGAAAACAGGCTGTCTCTCATGACCTGCCTGTACATCAGGGTTACACCCAGTCAATTGGCTGAGCTAGGAACAAAACCCGTGCTTGCTTGCTAATCCAGTGCCGTACATGCTGGACTGCAGTGTGGCACCTCGGCCTTATCTCTTATCCTAGTAAATGTAGCATTTCCCAGTGACCTGTTTGTCCTTCAGTGTTTAGATTCCCAATCCACGTTTCAGCCTCTGGCTCTACCATCTCACTTTTAAATGCTTTCCAGCTGATGGGCCTTTTCCCTGCCTTTTCCCCTTTTCTTTCCTCTGAAGGAAAGCAGCTAAGGAAACTTGATTGTCCTGCTAATGTCAGTTTGGTTACTCATTATCTCCTATAATAAGTTGGTGGGTAATGCATGTTGTTGCATGAGTTATTGGACTCTTCTTGGGGTAGAAGAGAGAAGGGCAAAGAAGTTTCTGGTTTACCTGACTTGCATGCCATGTCACCTCAATTTAAAATACTGCACGTGTGATTATTATTTATTTGGAGGCTGGTGGCAGCTGACAGTCGCCTGAGGACTGGGGTCCCATTGTACCGGGTACAGGATGGAGAAAAATGTGTAGTCCTTGGGTGCCTGTACTCAAGCCAGGAGGCTGCTCTGATGCGCTGTAATTGCAGCACGTCAGAGCAGACTCGATTAATCAAGTCTGCTGGAGCGCGGTAATTACCATGCTCCAGCCAGCCTCTGTCTTGTGTATCAGTGTCCCTGCATTTCAAAATGGTGGCAGGGGCACTTTAATAAAAGCTCGTTCAAGGAGCTAATACATGAGATGCTCTGGGTGCTTTAATTAGAGCCACTTTAATTAAAGCATCCCTTCTGCCCCTGGAGCAAGTGTAAAAATGCCCCTTGAGACCACTATTCCAGCAGTTTGGTTTTTTTTTAGTTTAAACTATGCTTGCAAACACTCCTAACGTAGGTGCTGCATATATACTGGTACCCACTACCCCTTGATTTGAAGGAAAGAGAATAAGCTGGCATAGGAAACATGTTCCATGCAGAAGGGGTATATTTGCTCTGTGGGATTTGGGAGAGAAAATTAGTGATGCCAGTGAAACTCTTAGTGGTCTTGAACTCGGGAGAGTCTTGTACAATGTAGTTGCTACTTTGCTGACTCCTCTGGGAGGTGCTGCTAGATGTGGCTATTGGCAAAGACTGTGTGGGTCCAAAACAAGCCAGCATTTAGTCATCTCCGTTCACCCAAGATGGTAGGGAACAGAGTTCCTTTTTGTACACTAATCAGTATCTGAGGATAACTTCTTAATGTAACCGCTTCCCTTCCCAACCATGCGAACGTTGATTTATTTTTATGTATACAAATAAAGTAATAAATAATGAAATAAAATAATTATATATAATATACCTGCACACATACATACACATCAATCAACGTTCTCTCACACCCACATTTGTGTGTGTGTGTGTGTATCTATGTATGTATGTGGTGTGTATATACTTATACATAGACATCAATCAACATTCTCTCTCTCACACACACGTATAGATATATAATACACACACATCTATATCTCAATATATATATTTGAAAAAAAAATCTATGTAGTATATTAAAATACTCTGGTTCAGCTCCACTCAATCCTATTCTAGTGGTGCTGCGTGAGAAAAGAACATGAATTTCTGTATCCCTCCCTTCAACTCAGACTGTAGGTGCAAGAACTTCACTGTAGTGTTTGTATGTGGTGGAACAGGCTTCCTTTACCTCCATCCTAAAGACTCTCCACTGTTGTTAGATATACAGAAAACCTATCAATTGAGTTCTTGGTTTATGTGACAGTGTTGTGACTCTAAGTGGTCTTAAAGAGATGTAAGGGAATTATTAACTTAGATGTTCATAAACTCTGAACACTATTTCTGTAGAAAACTTCCAGATATGTTGTTGGTGCTTGGAAAGAACTTCTGTGGTTGATCTTAAATTCTTATCCTTTTGGTCTTTGGCTCAAATTCAGTACAATCTGGTAACCTGCAAAAATTGGCATATGACTTTTGCCTTTCTGAAATGAATTATTGACAGTTAGTGTTTTTCTTTACACTGTGAGGTAAGTGAACACTCTCCCTTTTCTGACAACTGGCCCTCTGACCAGAGAAGCTAAAGACTGGATGGACCATGAAGAATGAACCTATTTCTTCATTCTGACAGATGCTCTCCTGGTTGGAGTGGGACATGGTAGGGATGGCTAATGGTGTCCAGGTTTACTAATCTGGCACTTCTTACCACTGGTCCCCTCCCTGTCAGGCACAATCTTGAGGGATAAAATGAACTGTTTTAATTGTGATCTTTAATTTATTCTTATTTCTCTTCAGGAGCAGAAAGTGGACATCCTCAAAGTGCTCAAAGAGCTATGGCGGGACTTCCTCCAGTGCTATTCCTCTCGGCCTATGCTATGTTGGTCTGTATGGTGGGCACTGTCAACCTGTGGCTACTTCCAAGTAATAAACTACACTCAAGGCCTATGGGAGATGGTGCTTCCTGCTCAGAACTCCGAGATCTATAATGGTGGTGTAGAGGCTGTTTCAACACTCTTAGGTAAGCCATTTCAGAAGGCAATAAAAAAAAATGCATAACCAATGAGACTTGCATGTTACATCCTCAAACTCATAGTTGCTGAAACATAGATCTGACAGAATTGTAATATTTCCTAGCATGTGCATGTGGGAGACTTTCATCTAGATTGGTGTTATGCCAAATAGCTGTTGGATGAATTTCAGGCATAGTATCTTGTGATTCAGTTGCTTACATAGCTGGCTACGCAAGAGGTAGGTTTGGAAATACTGAAACAGCTGGTCTTTCTACCCATGACACATTATGGGATCCTCCCCTAACAGTAGCATCATTGGATTATTCAGCACAACTTTCCAGATATGGGGGCACCGGTGTACCTCTAGGTGCTGGTTTAAATGTAGATGAGGTTATTTTGGCTAGACTGCTTGGGCACCTATACAAGTGCCAGACATTTGCTCCAGTGCATGCTAATTAGCACATAGAGCAGACTGGATTAAACAAGTTTGCTGGCATGTGTTAATTAACTTGCTCCAGCAGCCTCTGTGTCGTATCTATTCAGAGTCTCCACACTTCAAAATGGCAGGGGGCATTTTAACTAAAACTTGTCAAACAAGCTTTAGTTCTAGCGTCTCTGCTGCCATTTTGAAGCACAGGATGCTGAATACATGACGCTGCGGGGACCTTAATTAGAGCGGCTCTTGGAGCCACTCTAATTAAAGCATCTTCCCCCCTCCTCCCTCCAGCCCAGAGTGCGTGTATAAATGTCCCTTGATCCTGGTTGGAGGGATTGTCATTTTTTAATGTCTTTGGGGAAAACGCTTCCTGCGTGCCCCTTCAAAACACGAGCCTCAAAGCAGCCTGCTCTGTAACCTGCTGACAGCAGTAAAAGCTATGCAGTGCACAGGCCTTGCTTGACTGCATGGGCCCAGGTAGGTCAGTCTTGTATAACTCTCCAACAGACTGTTTCTTGTCATGGCTGGATATTGGTTAGGACAGCTCAGTACTCCATCCACTCCATCAGAAGAGCTCTAAATACGAGGACCCTTAATGTTTTGTCACCATTCTTGAATTCATAGGCTCATAAGAAAGTAGGGCTGGAAGGGATCTCACAAGATCATCTAGTCTAGCCTCCTGCTCAAGGCAGAACCATCCCTGACTAAACCATCCCAGCCAAGTGTTGTGTCTAAACTGCTTTTGAAAGTTTGCAAATCCTCTCCACTTGTTTATGAGGTATATACTTTTTAGTTCCTGTGTGGGGAAAAGTGAGGCACAAACACTGATTATTTGTTGTTTTGCACCTTCCCTGAATGTAACTAAGCACATACATGGAATTCAGTGGGAGCCAAGGTTGCTCAGCACCTCTGAAGACAGGACCACAGAAGACAATTCTTTTCCATTAAACACTGGACTAGTATGCTGCACTGGCCTTGGCAAAATAACAAAGCAAGCCTAGAGAACAGTTACAATTGTTTTAATATTGGGAAGTCCCATTCTGTGAGGATCCCAAATGGAGGTTGGTGGGGATTATTGAGGAGAGTGGGGGTGATCTTTTAACAGCAAAAAGCAGAATTTTTTTTATTTTCCTTTGGGGAAATTTTTAAGCTATTTTTGTTTTAAAACCATAAGATGCCCTCTTTAAGCAATTTGGAAACCAATTTGAGCTTGGGAACCCATGCTCTTTAGCTCTTAAGTATTCCAGATTTGCTGTTGGCCTTTGGAGCTGCCACTGAACCAGAAACTAGAACTTGCCAGCTCTGTGGCAGGGCGACTGGAACCAGGGGAAGTCAGGGTTCAATCTGGGATTTTAGGAGAGTTTCCCAGGCTTTCAGATGAGTGATGGGAAGTGTAGAAGCTCTGTGCTCCCTGGCTCTAGATCAGGGCTTCCCAACCTTTTCCTCAGCATGACCCCATTTAAACACTGGAAACTTTTTGTGACCCCAAAATGATGCAGACAAGATCAACAGGTCCTAAATATGGCATTACAATGCTTCCGTGTCTTGCACTCCCTTCATTTCTCGTTCTCATCCTTGTCATTAGTTTTACTGCTAGAGCTCAAAGCAGAAACTTTTCAGAGAAAAGCATCCATGTTATATTTCTCTGTCATATAAAACATATTTCAGCCAGCCAGTATCAACATGCTGATTTTATGTCAGCTTCCTTTAGCATACAGGTGCATACAGGTGCTGCATTGGAGCTGCAGCTGTTGTGCATGGACAAATAACTGCCGTGTGTGAGAGCTGCAGATTTATAAATAAGAAGTTTATTCATCATAATCGGTTGACACTGTCGAGCATCTTTGTGACCCCATTTTTTATCATTGTGACCCCAAGTGGGGTCACAACCCCAAGATTGGGAACTGCTGTTCCAAGTGCTAGAGCTGTGGATTCTAGCTGTGGTATCCTCAAGAACCCACCAAAGGAAGCTGACTTGAAAGTTTCCAGTGAAACTCTGCATCTGTTTTGCTGGCAGTTCATTGCAACTGATATGGCCTTGTGAAACGCTTGCAAATTTCCAGCTCACTTTAAGAATACTTTCATATAGTATCAGGATAACTCCCCCACATATACAAGTCAGAAGATGGGTGGGATGAGTTCAAGGCCTTCATTAGGTTATGTATGAACACTGCTGTGCCATTGTAGAAGTTTTTTTTAATTGTTCATTGCAAGTCATGAATCTTTTCCATAAGAAGGAGAGTACAAAATGCAAGCCAGAATTCTCGTTGGCCTTCTATTATTGGAAAGATGTTCCTTGGATGACCTGAATCGTGTCAAGAATGCCTCTGAAAGAGCAGGCAGGGAAAGACTGGAGCAAAAGATATTTTATAAAAAAGCATAATATTTGTTACTGGAGTGGACACGGGTGTTAAGGTTCACTTGGGTTCAACATGGCAGACTTACCATTGATTGGTCCTGAAGACACTTGAATTACTGGGATACAAACAGATTTCCTAGCTCCTTGAATGTTGAAAATAAGTTTGCTTCTGGTAGCTTATAAAATGTACAATAGGTTTTCTAGGAAACCTTTGCTTATCAGATAAAGTCCCTCCACTTCTGAGGATATTGGTGTGGAAATATAGATTAGGGGTAGGCAACATTTTCTGGCTGCAGGCTGAAATGATCTACCCAAGGTCAGAGGTGGGTGGGCACTAGGACTCACCTGCCAGCGGCACATGTTCAGCATGGGTAAAATTCCTGTGGCTGATGCTTGCCCCCATGGTGACATGGGAAGAGCACCCCTAGCTGAAGCCCCCAGCTACTGAAGTCCCATGTTCACAGGCCAGATCCAGTGGTTCCACGGGCTAGATCCTTGCTGACCCCTGACCTAGGTATCTCAATAGCATTCTGTGGCAAGAATGCCTTGAATTAACTCCCAACTCTAAAGTTGCCTAATGCATCCTCTTGTTCAGCCTGTATTAAATGGCTTCCTCTTCAGCTTGGCACACCCTAGTCACAATTCCAGATCTTATAGTCCTTGTTATCACTAGTTGTTCACCCAGGAAGCAGGTGTGGTCCTGTAGTGCAGTGACTCTGTAGTAACAACAGTGTTGGAGCCCAGTTATTCCTACATATGTGGTCATTTTAAAGGCAAATGACCCTAGAGGGCTGTCAAGCATGGGCTGCAATTCAGAGCAGACTTAAAAAGACTACAAATGGAATCTTTGGATTCCTTCTGAGCGTGGTGTTTTGGCTCCAAGACAGTAAAAGCTGGCGTACACAACCGGTGTCATTAAGGTTACTAAGTCAAGCCCTCCAAAGTCAAGAGATGCCAAAACAAAGGCTGCCTGTGCAACTTAAATCTGCTTCCTGTGCATGAGTCAGCCAACTCTTAATTACAGTATCACATGTTGTTTCTCTCTCCCTGTCTAGCTCTTGTTCCCTTTCCTTTGCTTCAGGCACCTTTCTACTTTGTACTGGGGTTCTGGTGCCCAAACCCCAGCTCCAGGCAGGACCATGGTGGCTGAGGCAGAGTCTTCAGGGAGTTAAACAGAATCAGCTCGTCTTATGACTAATCTATATCTCAGTTTTTTAAGTCCCCTTTGTGCATAAGTCCATCTTCCAAACATTTTAATTGGTTGCTTAGACATGCACCTGAAGCAGTTGGCAATGCCTGGCATGTGGGTTAAGGTATGAAACTGTTGAGTCAGCTGTGGTGTCTCATGCTGTGGTTGTGTGTTTACAATGACATAATTAAGTTCCTAAGGAGAAGGAGGAGTGAAACTCCATGAGTTGTCAGTTGAATCCCCAGAAAGTGTTGGGGGCGGTGGGTTTCCCCTTATCCCCCACAGCTTTGAAGCCACTGGTTTATTGTAACTGGATGTTCTACAGACTGAGCATCTTGTTGCATATAGGGGATAGGTCTCACTGGTATGGTGGTGGCACACTTCCAAAATGAAAGCCTATTGTGGCAGTGTTACAGTGGGCACTTGTGCAGATGTGCATGGAAGGGCACTGACCTAGCCACAGTCTTCCCTGTGACTGGATTTCATCCTATGTGCAAAGTGATGCATTAGGGCAGTGATTCTCAGTCAAGGTGCCACAATACCCTGGGTTGCCTTGAGAACCTTTGCAAAGGTGTCCTGTGTTGACGCACAGTGTTATTACTGTTAAGTGTGCAAGCATGGTTCACAAGATAAACCCAGAGATTTCAAGTAGGAATCTATAGTGTTAAAAACATTCTGCCATGCTGTGGGTTGTCCAAGTCCATTGCAACAGGAAAACTGCATTGTTGTTTTTCCGTAGTAAAAAACTGAGTGAAAACTAAGAACTGGCATTTTCCAAGGGGGGCCTTGAGTCTAAACAGGTTGAGACCCACCTGCATTAGGGTCTTTTGGAACTGTGAATCCCCTGTTAGAAAGTTGGAGGCCAGTGGATCTGACTAGAAGGCTTCTTGAAGAGGTTGGCCTGCAGGGGGTTACAAGTGGGATCTAAATACCATTGTTAGACTCCTAAAGATTGGGACAAGTCTTGAACGCAATTCTGTCTTTCAGTGATCACCAATAAATCTCCCTTTGTAAGCATGCTACAACTTTGGCTTGCTGTCTGATGGCTCTGTTGGGCCTTTCTTGGCTTGTCTATAAAACAAGCTCCTTTTCAAAGTGTAATTCTACCTGCTGTATACTGGAGCAGCATGAAAGCTGTACTCAGTCCCCCAGCGGCAATGTTGTACTGATAATCCTCTCGTCTCCCTCTGCCTTTGGCACCTTTTTATAGAGGTGTCAAACTGGGCTTGTACTTCCTTTTAACAGACTCTCTGAAAAAACTGCTAGCCTTAGTAAAAATGTGCAGCAGAGAACCCGTGGAAAGACTTGAGGCCTGGAGCTCTGCAGCATTGCAGAGTTGAAGTCAGTTTTGCCAAAGCACAAATCATTGGCTTAACTTTTCTCATAACATTTGATAGCTGATACCACTCATTTCCTTGTGAATTGAGTTAAGCCAATGAGGAGCATTTTTGATTACAGCCTTGTTAGAGTGAAGCCTGGCCTTAAAACACACAGCTAGTGGAGCATTTCTTCAGGACACCTGGTATATTTACACATCAGTGTCTCTCAGTCTAATGCGTGGAGTATTTAAACCAGGCCTCTGGATGACAAAATATTGTGGTAGTTAATAAATTACATCCTTTCTCTTTTCATCCTGCTAATAGGAGCTGTTGCAGTGTTTGCTGTAGGTTACATAAAAATACCATGGGCTACCTGGGGTGAAGTAGCATTAGCCCTGTTTTCCCTCCTTATTGCTGCTGCTGTCTATATCATGGATATAGTTCGTAACATCTGGATATGCTATGCATCGTATGTGGTCTTCAGAATTATCTACATGCTGCTTATCACAATAGCAACGTAAGTATTTTTTTTAAAGTCAGGATTTGGAATGCCTGGAAACTGGCATACAATATAGCTTACATATTGTATAGCTAAGAATCTCTGTGATCTGTACAAAAGTCCCTGTGTGCTGGTATCTTCAGATGGGGAGACTGAGGCAGGGTGGCATTTGACTTACTAAATTGCTGACAGTTTGCCTTGTCAGAACCAGGAGTGGAACAGAGGTCTCGCAACACTAAAGTCTTTGTCTGCAAGTGCTGGGTAGTGCTGTCTTCCAGGGGAATGCTTTTTCCATAAATATTGTTAGACTGAAGCATCAGAGAGAAGAGGGACAAGTACTTTGTCTGCAGTGGAGTCAAGTTCTCTGATTTGTAAGCAGGAAAATGTGTTTATATAATATTTCTTACTTGTAGAGGCAACTGTTCAACTAAACCCAGCACACCCGTGCAGTAAACAGACAGGAAATGAAGGAATACCCTCACTAGAGTGTAGTAGGATATACTCCTTGTAAGTCCCTTCTTGACTTGATAATGAGCAGTTCTGTGACTGCAAAGTGGGTATGCTGCATCTTCTCCGAAAGATGGGGCCCTTCTGGCAATAGTGTGTCCCTAGGAATTCAGTATCTTCAGTCTTAAATGCTGTCTTGGATACGAGTGTAACCTAAAGAACTCCCACACTTTGTACAACACTTCAGTTTTCCCCATGTCACTTGAACTCCAAGACTAGCTAGGTAGTACCCTATTTGGTTTGTGAGACAACTGCAGTGTAAGGCAAGATGACTATGGAAATGTCTAATATCATCCAGTGTATAGAGGAGCTTTCCAACCTACCTAGTTTGCTTGTTTAAACATTGCCCTATTCTGAAAAGTCCTTTTCTCTGCCTCCTAAGCATATTTCTACAACTTTTTCCCCCCCCAGGTTCCAGATTGCTACAAATCTAAGTGTGGAGCGGTATGCCTTGGTATTTGGGGTCAATACTTTCATTGCCCTGGCACTTCAGACTGTCCTCACTGTGATTGTTGTGGACTCCAGAGGTCTTGGGCTAAATATCTTCACGCAGGTAAGGCTACTGCTTTTTCTTGATTTGGGGGAGGAGGAGAGAAAAATGGAAATCAGGGTGGGAGCATTGACCAAACTTTTCTCTGTGGCTGTGGTTTCAGTTCCAGTTTTGAGGTCTGAGGAGTGTTCCCTGGCCTATGCTGAGGGGAAAGAGGTGGGAAGGAGTACTGTCCAATTGTGGGTGGAGGGTGAATTTTTTTTTCTTTTGCAAACTCACAGTTGGATTTCATGGGCTCCCTTGTTAACTTTCACCAGAGGGCCAAGGTCAGAGATGGAGCTCCCATCTCACCCCACAAGGTAGTTTACCAGAGTTTATAGTCTGGCTGGATGGGAAGTTTGTGTTGGCACAGTTCATGATGAAAATGATGCTTTATTCAGGTGAAGTTCCCCTTGAGTTCAGCTTTTCTTCCATGTACCACTGATCTCTCTCTCTCTATAGATAAGCATCTTTGAAGTTTAGATGCCACTTGTGTGGTATCTTTCACTAGCTCTAATGAACATGATAATAAAGGCAGGTAACAGGCTGGGAGATGCACACTTCATTCACCAGTCCTATTAAACCACATCTTGCATTTTGCCTTTTGTGTAAGTGGAGGGGTGGTGGGGGCAAGGAGAGAGGGAAGGCACGTGTGTCTATCCCAGATCTTTAACTTCCAGTTCTCTCCCTTTCTTTACAGTTCATGATCTACGCTGCCTACTTTGCAGTCATATCATCTGTGTTCTTGGTCAGTGGTATGTACAGTATTATGAAGAATTACAGAAGACAGAAGGACATGCAAAGCAGATCTGCAAGTCCTAAATGCACTGAGGACTCTCTTGGAAATGAAGTATGAAGATATAGGTC